CATTTAGGTACATCTGCATTTGTGCAGCTACCCTAGACTATATGAAGGGGTCTTCATATGAAGACCCCTTCGGGACTATATGAATGAAGACTTCGACCGAATGACCGAATGAAGACTTCGGGACTATATGAAGGGGTATATGGAGGTGTGTTAAAAAGCTAGCTACGTGATGCTAAAAATCCCCATCACACAGGATGGTTAGTCATACAGAGGCATGTGATAAGTAGTCTGCACTGGCAAACTCTGGGTGCATTATGAGGATATCACGAATACAAGAGTGAATAAAGTAACAGTGATACTAAAAGTCCACAACTTGCAGTATGGTAAGTCATACGGGGCCATATGTTCAGTAGCCGGCACTGACAAATTTTGGATACACTGTGAGGATATCCTCAAGAACACGAGAGTGAATATAGTAATTTCAAAGCTCCAGGTACCTCATGCCAACGGATCTGAATGGTCCGATAACTGGGTATTCGGTGATGTAGTGTTGGAGATCATGCCCCAGTTCCTGCTCACAGAGTTTGCACCTGATTGAGAGATTGGGAGATCCGTCATTTTTTTGTCTCCTTTTTACTTCCCTTGCCACTTCGGGGGGAAAAAGGGTATTGATCTAACTAAGGAGCCAAGCGACCCAGCCACAAGGCATGGGCCGCGTACGCCCCGCAGCAGTAAGCCTAAAAAGTATATTACATCTAAAACAAACTAAAATTCTAATATGTGGCCTACGATGTAACAAAACAAGAAGCCACCTGCCACAGGTAACGGTAACCCAACCCGATCCTGGCCACCACTGTGTCGCACAGTCTGGTCCACCTTTTGTACTGCCCATAAACATAGCTTTCAGATCTGAACAAATTATAGCTTTTTATACTGGTGCTTTCGGGTCGTTGGGAGTCGGTAATTTCTCTCCTATCAGACTTGAGTGTTAGGAACAATATAGTTTTGACAGAGATGGGGGATACCTAGATGTAATTCAACTTCATCTTTGTTACACGCTAATCTGGCTGCAATGTCTGTGTCATTATGATAAGTTATATTTATGTGTGATGGTATCCATACAAAGGAGATTCGAAACCCTTTGCTCTGTGCAGCAGTTAGATCATTTATAATTGCTAGTATGAGGCCAGTTTAAAGATATTGGATTCGATTTTCTATTGTTGATGCTGATTCTCCTATGGCTGCTACAATGAGGTCTTGATACTGGCCCTGGGGGGGGGGGGGGGGGGGGGGGGGGAAGGGGAGGGTTCAATTCCTTTTCCTCCTCATTATGCTCCTCCCCCCCCCCCCTTACTACTACCTCCACCCCTACCACCCCTCCACCCCTGCAACCCTCAACTTCCCCCCCCCCCTCGTCTACTACTTCCAGCCTCCCCTGCTACTCCAACCATCAACCCTCCACCCAACTACTCATCGGAAATAAGCCCCACAATCCGATTGTGTGGATGTGAGAATGTTATTCCATCTATAGTCGTCCATGTTTGTTAAAATACGTGAAATAAACCTTATAAACACTCGGCCTGTTATCTAGGGCTGTATGTATATATATAGTCGTAATGACTTGGCGCTTTCTCCTGATCATTTCCTTCCTTCGGCCTGTTATCATATTCCACATTTCGCGAACTTTTTTTTCCCTTCAGCGACACCTCTCCATCTTCTCTACTCCTCCCAAATATGGACAACGCCTCAGTGACGTCATTCACACGTCAGCGATGAGGTCACTTCCGCCATAATGGCGGCCAAGGGAGAGTTGTAGGAAAAAGTTATATATAGATCACGAAATAAATTTAAGGTCTGCTTTTAAAGGATTTAGTTTTGTTTTTACTATTTGTTTATTTTTTCTGTATTTTTTTTTATTTTCTCTGGTCAAAAGAGTGCAATCTTTTTCAGCTACAGGGGGGAAGCCTCAGGAACCCTCGTGGGATCAGTAGAACCTCAGGAAGCTATTGTTTTTTTGACTATGTCGCGGCCTTGTTGTCTGGGGCGTGTGCCTTGGAATACCCGGCGCATTGGTTCGAAGCCTCATCACGGATCCTATGGATTTTCTCATCGATACATCACTTTAGTGTGATTTCTCTGTGTATTCATCTCATTGTAATTGTTGGACCGATACATTTTTTGAATATATGTATATTATTGTGTTTTTTCTCAAGTGTCACGTTCTCCTTAAATGCCCAATTCTCCCTTAATATCAGATTTTTGTTGACCAGACCACACACTAGAAGGTGAAGGGACGACGTTTCGGTCCGTCCTGGACCATTCTCAAGTTGCGACTTGAAAATGGTCCAGGACGGACCGAAACGTCGTCGTCCCTTCACCTTCTAGTGTGTGGTCTGGTCAACATATTTTAGCCACGTTATTGTGACTCATCGCCTGCATCAGATTTTTCTCTGGATTTAAGACAACATGATAGATTGCCTTTAATAACAAAAATAGATTTTATTTTTCATTGTTATTTTATTTCAGTTTTTCAGAGAAATTTTGTTGTTAGAAGTCGTGCTGTATACTTTATCGGAGAATTTGTAGAGCATTTAATAAACGAGGAATATTTATATATATATATATATATATATATATATATATATATATATATATATATATATATATATATATATATATAGTAAATACTAGTAAACAGCTCAGATTACACGAGAATAGTTGTCTCTGTTTTCTTTCGCCGACGAGGCTCGCATAGAAAATGTATGTAAACAAAGCAGCGGGAAATGCACCGATGCGTCACGTTTGCGTCACATTTACGTCACAATGCATGACAATTAAACTATGTTGGTAGGGAAAAATTCTTACCTCTCCCAAAATAAAAATAATTGTACCTAAAAATAAAACACAGACGAAACGAAACACCCGAATTGGGCCCTTGTCAGTCTCTTTGAGTATCCCCGACGGCTGTAGTGCTGCTGCATGGGCTAATGGCGTTCCCTTCAAAGGGTAAAATGCAAAGCCTCTCGGCTACTTAACGTCGCTTGTCAGCGGCGGATAAACATAATATTAAGTAGATGTTTAGGGGGACACAATCGTAAATCCATGGGACGTAATCCATTCCCTCAGCGAGGCTGGTGCTGGCTCCCAAGAAAAAACTCAGGGTTATCTCAAGGTTATCTTGAGATGATTTCGGGGCTTTAGTGTCCCGCGGCCCGGTCCTCGACCAGGCCTCCACCCCCAGGAAGCAGCCCGTGACAGCTGACTAACACCCAGGTACCTATTTTACTGCTAGGTAACAGGGGCATAGTGTGAACGAAACTCTGCCCATTGTTTCTCGCCGGCGCCCGGGATCGAACCCGGGACCACAGGATCACAAGTCCAGTGTGCTGTCCGCTCGGCTGACCGGCTCCCAGGGTAGTCAAAGCCGCGCCAGAAACAATACGGCCTCCCTCTTAAACTCGTACCCAATTGGGGGGAAAACGTTTTCCAGTGACCTACGGCAGAGTAGGAGTCAGCCGTCCACCACCACACTTCTCGGTCAAGTTGACATCGGACACCGCCTGAAGAATCGGGCAGAAATCAGAAAAATCTATCGTCTTCCCTAGACCGCCAAGGGGATAGTTGTGTGCCAGGCTTGACAACAACCTGGGCCGTTGAATGGGAACGTTCGCCGATAGTATCCAGATCTAGTAGGTACTACAGGGTGTGGTAGTACCTACTGGGTTTGGACACCTACTACTGGCTGATGGTAGACTGATGGATGTTTACTACTAGGTACTACTGCGTCACGTGTTCCAGCGGTCCCCAGGCAGAGCAGGTGTTGAGACGTCCTCTCATCGTCAAGGTTGAATCAAGGGGTTATTATCGCTCGTAATCCATCAAAATCTTGTTAGCCAAGGAAAATTACAAGTATAGTATAGTTGCTGGGAATTTTATTTCTAAGGATTAATGGTATGTCCATGGAACACAGAATGTGCTATGCAACCCTCCACGCACGCTACAAATCCCAGCTGGAGACTGTATAAGTCCCACCTGGAGAGCAAGTCCTAGCTGGAAAGCAAGTCCTAGCTTCCGTTCCAGGCTGGGAGTGGTGCTAGAGTTGTTGCCACAATATTTCTCTCTCTCTCTTTAATACTGATCCTGTGTTCACTATTAACTGGACCAGGGGTGATGGGAACGCTAATGTGCATCAATGAGTGTTTCAGAATTATCTCACAGTGATGCCACGAAAATTGTCATAATAGCTACATAATAACGACGCTCGAGGCACTATTACAAAGACAATATGATAACATAGGCTTCTGAGGCCTGTACAGACCTTTACAGATCTCACGATGGGTTACATTGGTTTCTTAGACCTTTGCAGATTATAGGATGCATAGCATAGATTTATGAGACATTTAGAGACTTCACAAACCACAATATAGTTAATATAGACTTCTGAGAACATTCAGAACTCAAGATGGATGACAGTCTTCTGTTTCGACCGAATCTGTCTCTAAGAATTTGTAGGAAAATATAGTTTCTTTACACAAATAGGGAGACTGAAGGATTTATTCCAGGTTTTATCGTCAGTAGAGCTTGGCCTTCGATATTTACCGTTAACAATAATTGTAACGACAGATGACTAGCATGAATCCTCTGAAATGTTGCATTTTAATTTGTGAACCGCATTGATGTGCTCCTGACGGTCCATCCAAGTTTTCTCTATATTTTTTAAGTTTCTGTTTCTGACTTGAAGAGTCCCTCTAGTTGGGACTCTGTTTAAGTATATAGGTGCTCTGTTGTTGATACTGCATTATCGTTAGGCTTCTCTGATCGTGGCAAGGATGAATTTGTATTTGTCATACTATTGTTAGGTCCCCTCCCCCCATCAACACCGATATAGTTAATGTATCAACACTGATATATATAGTCTGTAGTCTCTTATCGACACAATAATCATAATCCTCCCTGTTGGAGTTTGGACAAATCCGTTTGTACTTTTTTTTTTTTTTTTTTTTTTTTTTTTTTTTTTTTTTTTTTTTTTTTACTATTATTATTATTATTATTATTGACGTTAGAGATTCGTGGCTCTCTCTGTGAGGGATTGGTTAAGTTTATTAATAATCCGTTAATCTCTCTTAGCAAGAGGTGATCATCTGGCGTAGGTGTCGTAGATTATAGCTTTATCTAAGCCTTTTCCGTTTCGCAAGTTGATTGAGATATCGTGTCTTGAGGCTTCTCCTCGTGGATACAGAACCAGGGCATGCGCTTCTGCAGCTCCAACCTGAGGAAGAATTTATCAACATAAAGCATGTGAAGGGGTAAGGAGTAGTACCCGAGGTAGAGAGGGCATCTATATCAGGGGTGTACTGACCTCTATTAGGGGTGAACTGCCTTATACCATGGGGGTGTACATACCTGTATCTAGGGTGGTTGATGGCATACACCCAGGGGTCAACACACGCAACAAACTTGCAAGTGAGTGCAGGAATCATAGACACCAGAGGCGTCAACTTGGACCTGTGGACAGTTTGGCAATGTGTGAGCTTTATTGATTATTATTATTATTATTATTTATTTTTCCTACGCACTAGCCAACTAGGCTACGACATGGTAATAAGGATTGCAACCTCGAGTTCTACTAAAGACACAAGAGGAGAGAGAGAGTCAAAGGTAGAACATTCCTGGATGATAGAGCCAGAGTGCATTGGGAAATTGTGGGGAGAAAATCCTGGTCCGGCTTGGAGCCGGACCAGGAGCTCCTGAGGCTCCCACTCCAAGCCGGACCAGGTCCGGCTTGGAGTGGGAGCCTCAGGAGACCCTTGTGAGCTCAGTAGAACTCCAGGTTGCAATCCTTTTTGACCATCTCGTGGCCTGGTTGACTAGGGTGTGTGCCTGGGATCCGCTTAGGTTCGAACCCTTATCACGGCTCCTACTGATTTTATTGTTATTATTATTATTATAACTAAGTATTACATTCAAAGAAAACCTGAAAACCTGTATCAGCATATATACATTTTCTTCTGTCCTCCATGGACAGGGTGAGAGATTTGTCAAACATACAGTTCAGAGATTTATTGAACAATCTGGTACAATGTGGTACAATGTGAGGGACAGGAAGGCGTGGCAGTGGGTCTTCAGGTGCTGCATGGGCCTGATCGCGAACTCGCTGATCTGTCTATTACAGCCAAAGTATGATAGCTAGAATTTGTTTCGCAATATTTTTACGTGATCAACGCTTAAAGTTTTACTGGTATGGGAAAGTCATAATGTTAGTAGTAATTCAGAGTCATAATTGGTATTGCGAATTTTTTTCGTGGGGGGTATGTTTAGCAGTGTCATGTATGAATCACTTTTTTCATTGATGCCAATTCTGACCCGTCCATGTTGGGCATGTACCACACACCAATTACTATGAAATGTTGGGCGAAGCTGGCCTCCAGCCTCAGTCACACACACAAACAGACATTTGTATTTACAGATAAATAATATAAATATAATCATATTTTTATCGCAGTCCCCCACCTTCCTCTCCTTCTCCCCCCCCCCCCTCCCTCAAATTCCCTCACCTCGCCCGTCTCTCACACTTCCTCACTTCCCTCGCCCCTCACACCTCCTCACCTGTCCCCGAAGGCGGCGATGAGGGCGACGACAGCGTAGGGGGTCCAGGAGATCAGGAACAAGAAGAACAGACCCATGCAGACCTTAGCAATACGGATCTCGACGGACTTCTCCTGGTCTTCGTGCGAACCCACACTTCGCAGGTTGGCGACGTTCATCTTTTTGGCCTGTGCCAGAAGAGACGGGTGAGTGTGTGTGTGTGTGTTCGAGGTTTGCTGTACCGTACCTGCTTTCTCATGCTCCACGTGTACCTGTTGTACCCTGGTGTACCATACTCGCTGTTCCGTATCTGCTCTCTCATGGTACACAAGTATCCTGGTATATTTTGGTGTAACTGGTGTACCGTACCTGCTCCTTCGTTGTCCACGAGTGTACCCTGGTGGTCCTGACTGTACTCTGATGTACCCTTTGTACCTGGCTATACTCTGGTGTACCCTAGTGTACCTGGCTATACTCTGATGTACCCTGGTGTACCTGGCTATACTCTGGTGTACCCTGAGTACCTGGTGTACCGTACCTGCTCCCTCATGGCCTGCTCGTGAGCTCTGACGTGGACGAAGATCTGGCCGTAGAAGTAGAAGACGAGGCTCCCCGGGACGATGTAGGCGAAGACGAAGATGGAGCCGACGAAGGCGCGCGTGCTCGCGTCCTCACTCATGTAGTCGAAGGTACAGGTGGTGAGGAAGCCCTCTGGGGGGGGAGAGAGGGTGGTGAGGAAGCCCTCTGGGGGAGAGAGGGTGGTGAGGAAGCCCTCTGGGGGGGAGAGAGGGTGGTGAGGAAGCCCTCTGGGGGGAGAGAGGGTGGTGAGGAAGCCCTCTGGGGAGAGAGAGGGTGGTGAGGAAGCCCTCTGGGGGGGAGAGAAGGTGGTGATGAAGCCCTCTGGGGGGAGAGAGGGTGGTGAGGAAGCCCTCTGGGAGGAGAGAGGGTGGTGAGGAAGCCCTCTGGGGGGGGAGAGAGGGTGGTGAGGAAGCCCTCAGGAGAGTGAGGGGACGGGATAGTTAGTATAATGGGGACTGTAGCCTCATGCTGCCTTACACCAAACATGGCCACCAAAAACGCTACATAATAATTCTTCGTTTGCTTAATAACTGATATTTTGTTTAATGGTTTTAATGTCACCTTCCTTCCTTCCCTACTTCCTCCCTCCCTCACCTTCCCTCCCTCACCTTCCCTTCCCTCCCTCACCTTCCCTCCCTCACCTTCCCTCCCTCACCTTCCCTCCCCCCCTCCCCCCACCTTCCCTCCCTCACCTTCCCTCCCCCCCCTCCCTCACCTTCCCTCCCTCACCTTCCCTCCCTCACCTTCCCTCCCTGACCCATCCAACTGACCTGGCACAAATCTGCCCCAGATGTTGAAGAGGGGCAGCAGCGCCCACGGCGAGGCGTACGCCCATATTCCCACCACCATCATCAGCGCCGTCCCTCGCGATATCTTGGCTTCGAATGGCTTGGCGATGGTCCTGCGGTGGTTGAGTAATTAGCTGTCTAGTAATGTAAATGGAAGTGAGCCTATTACTATGTGTTTATCTATCTGTCTGTCGTTCACTCTGTGACACTTTAGAGCATCTTTGAGCATATTTACTATGTACACAACTGTGGCAGAGACTAACACTGTCAAGTCAGTCGCCCTCGTGACTATCCGTCCTCCTGAAAGGATAGTAATTCTAGCAACTATTTGGTCGAGCGAACCATTGTGTGTGCTGTTGGAATCAACAAGTTTCACGTTTTTTCTATTCATTTCAGTCCGAGAAAAAATATAAAATAAACTGAAACATTGCTTGGCCTAGTATACACCTAAGAATGTTTAAGTTTAGTGATCCTATAATGTGTATAGGATCCCTCTGTGTGTATACTCACTGCGTATACTCAGAGTATATACACTGAGAGTATACTTCGCTCTGGACAATGTCCAGGGTTGAAGTATTCTCGCTGGTTATTTATTTATTTATTTATTTATTTATGCATATACAAGAAGGAACATTAGGAATGTGAGGATACATAAAATGGTAATTACAGTCTTGTAAAGCCACTAGTACGCGCAGCGTTTCGAGCAGAATTGGGTTGAGCAACACCTTACTGGTTGGCCAGTAAGGTGTTGTGGTGGCCTTGATAACCCCTCCACACGTTGATAGACCTTAGGCTCAACACCTCCACCATCACCTGATCTTACTTGTATCTGTCGTAAGCGATGGCGGCGTTGGTGACGGCCCCACCGACGCCGGAGTAGGACCCCATGAGAGCGAAGGTGTCGCAGCCGAGCTTGCCCCAGATGGGTCCTTCGTTGAAGGAGTTGACGATGAACACCGGCGTCTTGAGCATCATTATGAAGTCCAGGATGGCCAGGTTGATGATGAACATGTTGGACGGCGTCCGCAGATTCTTGGCGCTGTTCGGGTGAACACGACTAGTGACTTAAGCTCGATATGGACACTAAGTTGGGACTATCGACACTAAGCTGGTTTACTGTGACAAATAAACCGGGGGAATAGAGATGGATTTACGGCTACGTGCTGGAACATGTGTGAATTTTTGCAGCGAGGATGTTTCAAACGTTATAGAAAAGTACAACAGTGGGAGACTCGCGCTCTGGGAGACACTATCAAGACTTCTCCCACGTACAAGGGAGAGAAGCCAAGAGCAGATGCGGGTGGGCACTGGTAACATGGTATGATAGATATTAAAACAAAACTTTATTTCATTTGTTGGTTTACCTTATTACAGGATAAAGTAATGTTGGTTTACCTTACCACAGGATAAAGTAATGTTGCTTTACTTTACCACAGGATAAGGTAGAGCTATGCTGGTTTGCCCCAGATTTTACACATCATAACAATGTTAAGCTCAAAATGAGAACATGATGACGTACTCCATCAACCCTCTCTCGTCTCCACTATGTAAGAAAGATTTTTGCAGCTTGCCATATGACAAGCTTCCACAGCTTGGCAGAAGAACAATAAGCTTCCCACAGTCTGTCAGAGGAAAAATAAGCTACCCTCGGCTTCTAGCATGAAGAACAAGCCTACCATAACAAATTGGGGGTGTCATTACGCAGTTTTTCAAACAAAAAACTCGAGATAAATTAAATTTTACTGACCTGGACACACACACACATTCCCCGCCGGCTTGGCTACTACATAGCCTTCCCGGTTTGGTGCCTTCTATTGATAATTACTTACTTACTCCCCCCGGCTTGGCGCCTAAATACTTATGTCAGCTCACCTGGTAAACACCCAGATGACGACACCGTTGCCGACGAGCGCGGCAAACATGAACATGATGTAGAGGACGGCGAGCATGTAATGGAGGAAGGGGTTCGGGGCCTGGAAGGTCTTCCAGTACGGGTGGACGTAATCCATGTACTCTGAAGGGGTGTTCCAGCCAAGCATCCTCATTTCGTAGCGCCCACCGGCCGCCACGCCCTCGCCTGACCTGTAAGGTGGTGGGGGTCACAGAGGAAGAGGCTTCAGCCCATTTTTTTACGATTTGATAACGTCAAATTTGACGGGGTTTTTACTTAATCAGAAACGTATCGGAGCTCGTCAATACACCTGGCTTATAGAGTCAGATCTTAGTCTGAAGAAATGTCCATATTGTAATGTTTCTATTTTAATTATCTCTTAACCCTTAATAAATAAGTTTAAGTATATTATATATATATATATATATATATATATATATATATATATATATATATATATATATATATATATATATATATATATATATATATATATATATATATATATATATATATATATATATATATATATATATATATATATATATATATATATATATATATATATATATATATATATATATATATATAATCTCGGGGTACCACCTCAGGTACAATTGTGGGGACCCATAGCCTTAGAGAAGGAAATAAAGAGCATTTAGAAAGAATATTTTCGTTTGTACCTAAATTCAAATAAGTATTTGCTTTTCTCATATAAGTATCTTAACAAACTTAAAACACAGACGTGGAAGAAGTGATATTACCAACTTAAATGTTATTAATTTAAGAATAAATAACATAAACACTTATAAAATTGTTGAACACATGCACTTATATGAACGGGACACTTCAAGAGGGACTTAAATAATTTGTTTTGAATATGTAAACTAATAATAATCTGCTTAAATAAATAGCTATGAGAAATAACACGCTTATACAGAGTTGCTGAAAGTGTTAAGAGGGTTTAGATAAAGAATAATGTGCTTATTACTCTAATGTGATCTAACTACTGATTACTTTATTAAAGTCTTACATGCAGAGCTTAATAATTTGTATTTTTGAAGTAGCATTGATGTCTCCTTCGTCAGACCTGTTGAGCAGATCGTGGAGGTGTTGCGTCAGAGGGAGATATCTTGATAATGAATGGCCAATCACAGCTAGGCTCTCCAAACTCTCGAGTAACTCGTGTACCAATCATAACTCAACACTCTCTAAAAGGCCAATCACAGCTAGGCTTTCGAAACTCTCGTGTAACTCGTGTACCAATCATTACTCAGCGCCCGTCATAAGGCCAATCACAGCTATTTTGTCCCCTGCTCTCACATAACTTGTGTACCAATCATAACTCAGTTCTCATTGTACGGTCAATCACAGCTACGGTATCATAACTCGCCTTAGCACACATCCTCAAAACACCAATCACGTGTTCTTAATTTTTTGTAGCTAATTCTCGGTTCATTCACACATCACACGACACCAATTTACTAACAATCAGCAAATGCAACAATAGCAAGTCACCAATATACTAACATATACAACTTATTTTAATCATTAATAACAGTTCAACTTTTCTAACTTTACAACCATTCTTATAACTTAATTCAGCTTAGAACAAAGTAATCTTGGCTTCATCTAACTAATCAATATTAGCTGTACATTTTCAGTACAATTTTTGTTTTCTAACAAAAATATTAATGTCTCTCATTCATATTTTTCGGTAGGAAGTTACCAATTATTTCCTACTGAATCTTGCAACCTGTCCTCCCACTTGTTAATACTTGAATCTGCAGCAGACCGGATCAACAAAATCTGAACTGATGCATCTAAACAATAACACAATAATACAAAAAGTGATTAATCTTATAGACCTAACTACTACTAGGACTAGTATATCACATATAGGCACTGAATTAAGGCCTAAGATTGTATATTTTAGGCTCTGGTTTCCTTATTGAGGCCTAAGACAAGTTTACGGTTTTTCAGTTTAGAATTAAGAATTTCTCTAAAATTATTTAGAATCTTTTAGAATTCCCAAAGTACAAAACGTGGACACTCTTGGAGGACAACGGTACATTCAGTTTTGGAGCACAACATGTACATTGGGGACTATATACATCAATGTATATAGTAGCGATAGGTAGTAGTACTTACGGAAGATGGGTCAGCTAACAGCTGGCCTGGTAACGCGTAAATAAATTCAGACATATAGACAATATTTTCAATTTTTGTCACTTTTCGTATTAAATAGGCTACCGTTTGTATGAATACGTTATTTAGTGGGTTATTTAGTAGGAAAGTATTATTATAATTGTACATGTATTTAAGAGCGCGATTTCGAATGTTGTTAATATAGGCCTATAAGACTCAACGGGTTCAGGGGCATCCTTGATCATGACGCTAAGAAGCCCTCAGATCAGCCCGTCCTCCTAAAGATTCCCAACGTAAAGAAACTTTCGTACTAAAGTGCCCTTATCCTAACCTACCAGAGGGCCCAAAACAGAAAGTGGGACAGTATGTCAATTTCGTGATCCGCCGCCATTTTTAAGTACGACAATTTTTAGCCTGAGGTAGAGTATACGTCAAAATGCAACGTTCTGCGAGGAGGACGGACGGGTTGCTCAAGTACAGGCCGAGCCAGTACACACGTACACTAATAAGGGAAGCTTTAGTTCCCCCTCGCATGTAAGTCGTGCCAGCTGACGACGGTACACACAACTCCGCGTCATCAGTCAAACATTTCCTATTAGTAAGCCTATCTAAGGATTATTTCCTTTTATATTAAAAGTGCTTATGACAATTTTCTAAGAAGCTAATCTTGAGACTTCAGGAAAGTAATGACAATTAACGAATTGAGAATTGTTGTTTATTGTCCATACGGAACATAGATTGATTCACAAATAACAAGATTTTTCTCCGAATGCTCTTTTTATTTCATTCTATGAGGCATTTGGTACTCAATCTTATCAGAGGTAGTGCACACACACACACACACATTGGATACCGGATACCGAATAGGAGATGAAGTCCTTCACGAAACGGACAGAGAGAAAGATCTGGGAGTTGATATCACGCCAAACCTGTTTCCTGAAGCCCATATCAAAAGAATAACATCAGCGGCCTATGTGAGACTGACTAACATCAGAACTGCTTTCAGAAACCTGTGTAAAGAATCCTTCAGAACCTTGTATCTCACATATGTAAGACCAATCCTGGAGTATGCAGCCCCAGCATGGAGCCCATATCTAGTGAAGCATAAGACGAAGCTGGAAAAAGTTCAGAGGTATGCCACTAGGCTAGTCCCAGAACTAAGAGGCATGAGTTATGAGGACAGACTACGTGAACTGCACCTCACGTCGCTGGAAGACAGAAGCGCTAGGGGAGACATGATCACCACATACAAAATTCTCAGGGGGAATTGACAGGGTGGACAAGGATGGATTATTTAACACAAGGGGCACACGTACAAGGGGACACAGGTGGAAGCTGAATACCCAAACGAGCCACAGAGATATTCGAAAGAACTTTTTCAGTGTCAGAGTTGTTAGTAAATGGAATGCACTAGGCAGTGATGTGGTGGAGGCTGACTCCAAACACAGTTTCAAATGAAGATATGACTGAGCCCAGTAGGCTCAGGAATGAAAAATTAACTGCAAAGTTCATTTGTTATCTTTTTATGTGACCTGACCCTAATATATACGCTTCGTTGACTGTTAACGTTTTCAAAGGCTGAGGTGGAAAAAAATGGCCTTCTCAAGACCAGAACATACAGTTCTATAAACAAAAAGTCCAACCACTTTGGACGGTAGAGCGACGGTCTTGCTTCATGCAGGTCGGTATTCAATCCCCTTCCGTCCAAGTGGTTGGGCGCCATTCCTTTCCCACGGCCCATCCCAAATCCTTATCCTGACCCCTTCCCAAGTGCTATATAGTCGTAATGGCTTGGCGCTTTCCCCCTGATAGTTCCCTTCTGTAAACAAGAATGTCTGCAATGTCTGCCCAAGGTTCGACACCAAACGTTGGGTGGTTGCTTCACCTAACTTTGCACGTAAACATGCGGGTGGTATGTGACTGTCATAGGCTGGCTGGGGTCGCCCACATTGCCTCCCTTTAAGAAATATCGGCTATTACAGCGACCCTCCTGTGAGTTTGATGAAACATGAAATTGTGTATTTCATTTGCATAGAGTTTTTTGAGCAGTCTTTCATCTTTTCGTTACATTACATTTACTGGGGCACTCAAAGAGGGAGGGAGAAGAGAGAGAAAAGGAATTGGAGTGCGATGGAGAAATAGAGAGAGACAGACAGACAGACAGACAGACAGACAGACAGACTCGGGCACTGCCAGATATCCTTTCTAGTGAAAAATATAGAACATTCGTGCTAGTATTAGTGATCTAATACCCCTTTGAGTCCTATTGAATAATATGTATATGTATATATATATTTATGTGTACTGATGAATTTAACAGCAAAATCTCAACTGTAGAAAATAGTGAACGATAATTGTGCAATAACATTATGAATGAATGTACGATAACTTTCTCACCTGAAGAGTGCCGGACGTATGAGGTAAGTGTCATTAGTCATCCCTGCACCTGGCAGTGTAAGTCCATCCAGCAGTGCCATGGCTCCGTCTCACACCTGTCAGAAAACATGAATATAATTAGCAAACTGTTAAAAAGATTCACTTGAAATCTGAATGGCTTCCGGTAATAACTTATAGAAATGTATCCCGCATAATATCTGCAAATTATTCGTGCTGTAGAATATGCAAACTAATATCGCCAAGCCAGATTCAAGTCTAGAATTTGTTTATAATAATAGTTGAGTTGATTATAATCTAGTTGAGTCACATTTGCTTCTTTGGTGTCAGAGATCAGAGAAACGGTTTACTGAAGCCTATCATCACAACACAAGGCCGGCTGGTTCATGATGCGTATGTACAAAATGTCTCGGTAGGTTTGTATCTTGTACATTCGTCAGTCTGTGTTTGAAGCTATGATTCGAGACGTGTTTCTGACTATTCGAAGCTATGATTCGAGACGTTTTCGTGACAATTCGAAGCTATGATTCCTGACGTGTTTCTGACTATTAGAAGCTATGATTCCTGACGTGTTTCTGACTATTAGAAGCTATGATTCCAGACGTGTTTCTGACTATTCGAAGCTATGATTCGAGACGTTTTCGTGACAATTCGAAGCTATGATTCCTGACGTGTTTCTGACTATTAGAAGCTATGATTCCTGACGTGTTTCTGACTATTAGAAGCTATGATTCCTGACGTGTTTCTGACTATTAGAAGCTATGATTCCTGACGTGTTTCTGACTATTAGAAGCTATGATTCCAGACGTGTTTCTGACTATTAGAAGCTATGATTCCTGACGTGTTTCTGACTATTCGAAGCTATGATTCCTGACGTGTTTCTGACTATTCGAAGCTATGATTCGAGACGTGTTTCTGACTATTCGAAGCTATGACTTAAAACGTACTTCTGACTGTGTTCAAAGCTATGATTCGAGGCGTGTTTCTGACTGTACGAAACTATGATTCGAGACGTGCTTCATTCCCTTCCAGCCTCTTCTGTAAACTCTTTAAATCAACGAAACCAAAACCTAACCTTTTCTAGGCCTAACTGTACAAAAAATACAATAGTTATTTTATAATAGAGAAAGACATTTGTTATTAAACCGCATAAGAGTGTCATCCTGTCAATCGGTTGACAGATAATAAGTCAAATACTGACTTGTTAACCTAAGTCAGTCATTATATGCACTATTGACTCTAAATTGAGAAAGGATGCGCAATAGAACTTGTTCTCTCTGAACGCACTACATTTTTTGCGCAATCGACCCCGACGTGAAAATTGCTGTGGTTTATTAAAAACAATAATTATTGTTTTTAAATTTAATTCAAATTAAAAATTTAAATAAATTTAATTAAATTAAATTTAAATAAAATTTATTTTATTAAATAAATTATAAAAATAATTTTAATTTTGTTGTTAATTAAAAACATCGCAAAATTGACGCTTCACTGGCCTAATAATTATCGTTTCTGATAAGCTATGTGGGTTGCCTATGTTTTGAAACATTTTGACTAGGCTAAACCACTACATTTTTTTTTTTATTTCCGGAAGGGAAATCGAGAGAACGCGGGCTCTTCCAAGAACACGCATAATAAATCATGAAGAGTCAGCTCAGGAATCCAGGATACAAAGGACACGTTTGGGCGCATTCAGTTGTATGTTTTTTTTAGCAGTAAGAATCCGTGAATTGGGCAAGAGTTGGGAGTCCCACTTGGGGAAGGTCAGTCGTTGGGGAAGGGGGGGGGAGGGAAGTGGAGAGCTTCGATAGCCTAGCAGTTTCTTTCCTGACAAGCCATTATTCCCCGCGGCGCGCGCTAGTCAAGTGATTGCTTGATGAAGATTAAGCCACCCAGATTGATTGATTGATGAAGATTAAGCCACCCAAAAGGTGGCACGGGCATGAATAGCCCGTAAGTGGTGGCCCTTTTGAGCCATCACCAGTATCAATAGATGAAAGCCACCCAAGAGGTGGCACGGGCATGAATAGCCCCGTAACGCACCCTATAGTCGTTGACAGGCAGTGTGACTTCAACCTTCGCAACACGTTACGCATTTTGCCCCAAGCTGAATCATTGTTTATCGCTTATCTAAACTCAACCAGCGCCCAGCCAAGGTATTGAAGAGACTCAAAAGTGAATTGCTTGGTGCGTTCCTTACCAGAGACGAGGAGAGCTGGACAGGGGGTGACGGGTCTCTCTGTGACTCCTGGATACTGATGTTGTCGGCTCTTTCTTCTTTGCGTTTATATAAAGCCTTCATTGGGTAAAACTAACCCAATTTATCCCCCCTTTCATCCTCCTCCTCTTCTTTTAGCTCATTGTAGCTCATTGAGGTCAGCATTGTTCCGGAAATAGTCCCCCCTGAAGCTTATATATTTAGAGGATTACATCGATATTGTGTTGGAATCCTTCCTGATGGGCTCCCATTCAACACTGTCTCCCCTAACTTGCCCCATTTCTTGTTCTAATTGATATAGTTTCACAAGAGCTGATTTGAGGAGTTTCTTGGGTGGAAACTGTGAAGGGGAGTTATGTTCTAAGTTGTTATATCCGTTGGTGTAAGGGAAGGGAATGGTAGGACATGAGCAACAGAGACCTTACAACCGTATAACAGAGACCTTACAACAGTATTACAAGGAAAGGGGAGATAGTCACCGCTTTGTTTAATGAAGCCCTCGGTGTGCCTGATCTGGTAGCTACACTTGTCACACGCACATTGTTTTTTAGGTCAGTATTGTGTGTGTGTGTGTGTGTGTGTGTGTGTGTGTGTGTGTGTGTGTGTGTGTGTGTGTGTGTGTAAGCAAAGCACCTAATGTCTGGCATATCAAACAAAAAGAAGGCAATATTTTTTTTATTTCTATAATTACATATTTCGTTACAAACATAAACAATGGCGTATAAAACAAAACAGAAACTTTATGTCACACAGCTGAACCAAACAAAGTCACCCAAACCCGCCTCCGACAAGGATTAACGCGCGTACCTTCTTTTTTAAACCTCTCCAAATTATCAGTCACTGACTAGTACCTTAGGATTTATACACACACACACACACACACACACACACACACACACACACACACACACACACACACACACACACACACACACACTATTTCGTCGGTCATAACGACTGAAGCGCAAGAAATTCTTGTGCTAGGCTACAAGAATGATAGGGTGAGAGGACCCTAAGGGCTTGCACATATTCAGCTGCATATTATAATACACATACACACACACATATGCCTATATTTGTTTTCATTACATTGTAGGACAGCACTTCATACACCAAAATACACGCCATACTGCTAGGATCTTGGTAGTACAGTTGGCTCCGTTCACAACTCACAATCGAGAATCTCGGGCGGGGCAGAAATGATTGGACAAGTTTCTTTTCACCTAATGCGACTGTTCACCTAGCAGTAAATGGATACTTGGGAGTTAGTCAACTGTTATGACGTTATATCCTGGGGCAGGTCAGTAGTTCGGTCTTAGGAAGGACCTTGATATAAACCTAACGTATATATATAAATATATATACGTATTTATATATATATACACAGGGTGCCTGTCCCCGAAAAAAATGAATCATTATCACACGACACATACACAAACGTAAACAAAGCCTAGTATTAAGGTTTAAAAAGGTGTAGCCTCTTGATAGCGTATAGTTATTACTATTAATTATTTTATTAATTATTATTAACTTATTATTATTAATTAACAAAGTCCAGCGTACCCATTATAAAATGGGATTTTGGTTAACAAAACTACAAAAAAGTTAGGATCCTTAAAGGGAGTCTTAAGGTCACTGAATTAACTCAGGATTTACTTGCTCTTAGTATCTTGTTGACCAAATGTCTCTTGTCTCACTATCTTGTTGACCAAATGTCTCTTATATCACTCTCTTGTTGACCAAATGTCTCTTATCTCACTATCTTGTTGACCAAATGTCTCTTATATCACTCTCTTGTTGACCAAATGTCTCTTATCTCACTATCTTGTTGACCAAATGTCTCTTATTGCAACTGTCTATTGATAATTTAGTGACATCTCTTTTTTTGTATTGACAAGTCTTTTTGTTGACACTTCTCCCTTGTTGATAAGTCTCTTATTGATACCACTCCATTATATGGCGAGAGACTGCGACTATTATCATTATTATTATTCTCATTCTATCATTGCTTTCAAAACAAGTTTTAAATTACTAAAATCGTTTACAAACATGTTAATACTTTTGCTTTGATTCTGTGCAACCTTAAGGAGAGATAAGGTAGCCTTATTTTGTCCGGTGTGCGGCAACTCAAGAGAACGGGTTATCCATAAGGATCAAAATACAGTAGCGAGACACGCCAAAATTACCTAACCCGACCGACCAAAACTGCCATTTCCCAAACAGTTCAGGCAGTTTCCATATTGTTTCATTGTTATTCCAGGATGCAGGTTCGATCCCCCCATTTCCTTGTACCGACATTACTTTCCTGTGATTTAAGTACATAGCTTCAATATTAATTATGACAACTCTACACCTTCCATCAGTTTCACAAAACTCTACACAACTTTCATTAATTCCTTACAGTCTTAAAAAATGTTCAAACATTGTAAATCTCAGAAAGCTTACATCAATTTCAGATAGTTAACAAAAAAAAATCATTCATTACTTCCGTACAGTTTCAAAAATTACATCCACCAAATAGTTTCAGAAAGCCTAAAAATTTCAAACAGAAAATAAGTTACAATAAAGTTGTTTATAATTAATGATCCAACCCACATAAGGGCCCAGGATGGAGAGAGTCGTCGTGTCACACTACTCTAGACAGATTTTACAATCCCCAGACTACTCTAGACAGATTTTACAATCCCCAGACTACTATAGACAGATTCCACAATCCCCAGACTACTCTAGACAGATTCCACAATCCCCAGACTACTCTAGACAGATTCCACAATCCCCAGACTACTCCAGACAGATTCCACAATCCCCAGACTACTCCAGACAGATTCTACAATCCCCAGACTACTCTAGACAGATTCTACAATCCCCAGACTACTCTAGACAGATTCTACAATCCCCAGACTACTCTAGACAGATTCTACAATCCCCAGGCTACTCTAGACAGATTCCACAATCCCCAGACTACTCTAGACAGATTCCACAATCCCCAGACTACTCTAGACAGATTCTACAATCCCCAGACTACTCCAGACAGATTCTACAATCCCCAGACTACTCTAGACAGATTCCACAATCCCCAGACTACTCTAGACAGATTCCACAATCCCCAGACTACTCCAGACAGATTCCACAACCCCCAGACTACTCTAGACAGATTCTACAATCCCCAGACTACTCTAGACAGATTCTACAATCCCCAGCCTACTCTAGACAGATTCCATAATCCCTAGACTACTCCAGACAGATTCCACAACCCCCAGACTACTCCAGACAGATTCTACAATCCCCAGACTACTCTAGACAGATTCCATAATCCCTAGACTACTCCAGACAGATTCAACAATCCCCAGACTACTCCAGACAGATTCCACAATCCCCCAGACTGTCTCAGATCACCTTCCTACCGCATAAGACTCAGCCTGTACCTACTCTGAATCTTCAGTCCTTCACTATCATCCTCTTCCTCGTCCCCACCATCTTCCTCCCTCCCTCCCTTCCCCTGCTTCTTCGGCGTGTACAGTCCGAATCTCGGGTCTTTCTCTCTCTCCTTCTTGAGCGCGTAGGACTCCAGGCGCTTGATGATACAGTTGTGTCCGTTTTCCTTGGCATGGTCGATGGGCAGGAAGTCGTCGCAATCGCGGATGTCGTGTCGTGCGTCGCTGTCCAGGAGGATTCGAACGAGGGACTCGTTGCCGAGGCGCGAGGCGAGATGGAGCGGGGTGAGGCCGCGGTTGTCAGTGGTGTTGAGCTTGGCGCCGTTGTTCAGGAGGATATACATGTCTGACAGGATGGAACTCTTGCCTGTTAGGAGACAAGTGGCTATATGAGCTAGTTCATTCTAGGGGGGGGGGGGGGAATGGGGCAGGTACAGTCTGGGCTTCAAGGGGTATGTGAACAAGTACAATCTAGATGGACATGTACGGGATTACAGGAGGGGGGAAGCACAGATACAGTGTCCAGGGAAATGTAAATACTGTATTCAGTCGAAGACAAAATTCACATGCATTCAGAAGCTACCATATTGCCTTTCCTATACCCCCATATATATATATATATATATATATATATATATATATATATATATATATATATATATATATATATATATATATATATATATATATATTAGGCCTTCTCTCACAATAACAATCATTTGTATTTTAACGTTATTGCTGATATTATAGATATGAATAATACAAACTATTATTGAGACAATCAACTGGAGCTCTGAGGTGACTGGGACCCGGGAGCTAAGGTTGCGCTAGCAATCCCTTGGTCGCGGGTTCGAGTCACCTCAGAGCTCAAGTTGATTTTCTAGTTGATGATCAAGTAGATTTTCTAGATCAAGTTAGTGTGATTTCTCTGTGTGTTATTATTAGAAACAATTAAATTATACTGTTCTTAAAGTACAAAAAAGACAATTCAAGAATTATAATAATATGACGTCAGAGCAAGATTGATAAGATCGCAGTAGAGAGAGAGAGAAGGTACAAGTCTTGCAGTATAAGCAAACATGTATATATATATATATATATATATATATATATATATATATATATATATATATATATATATATATATATATATATATATATATATATAGAGAGAGAGAGAGACAGACAGAGATATCAACGTGACACGTACTAGCAGCATAGTGCAGAGGCGTGCGGCCCAGCCTGTCCACGGCGGCCACGTTGCCTTCCTTCTTGACGAGACGCCTGAGGACGGCGTCGGAGCCGCCCCACCGGACGGCGTAGTGCAGGGGCGTAGCGCCGTGTTTGTCCGCCTTCCTGATGTTGCAGCCGCTGTTGATGAGGAAGAGCACCAGCAGCTCGTGCCCGGAGTAGATGGCGTGATGCAGCGCCGTCCGCCCGTCACTGTCTGATTCGTTGATGTTGAAGTCTGTAAATATATGAAATTAAAGTGACGAGGAAGAGCGGGAAAGTGAGTTAATGCAGAAGGGAAGATGAGGGGGGGGGGCCAGATTCACGAAGTAGTTACGCAAGTACTTACGAACGTGTATATCTTTCCTCAATCTCTGGCGGCTTTGTTTACAATTATTAAACAGTTGATGAGCTCCGGAGCACCAGGAGGGTGTTTACAACAATAACAACAGTTGATTGGGAAGTTTTCATATTTGTAGAATGTTTAATAAATGCCACCAAAGCCGTCAAAGATTGAGGAAAGATGTACACGTTCGTCAGTAACTGCTTCGGGAATCTGAACCGAGGACACGAGTTGATACGAGACCCAGAACGGACTGAAACTCCACTTTCGTTACGTTTCATATGTGTGGGTTGACTTATTTAATGTGGGTTAGTAATTATAACAGGATACGTTCTTCTGAAAACAGGTTAATTCATTAACTTACCGGTCATGTAAATGCAGATTTTCCATCACATTGGAACACTAATCTTATTACAAGATACTCTCAAGCAAGACTATAGATGACTAACTTCAGAAATCAGACTGACAACTTCACTTGTCCCCTGCTAACATTAGGGGGGTTTCCCAAACTCCAGTTAGAACACTTCTAGTACTATATAGGCTATATATATATATATATATATCAGAGTATCTGCCATACGCTACAGAGTCTGCCATACACTACAGATTATCTGCCATACACTACAGAGTATGTGTCATACACTACAGAGTATCAGCCATACACTAGAGAGCATCAGCCATACACTAGAGAGCATCAGCCATACACTAGAGAGCATCAGCCATACACTAGAGAGCATCAGCCATACACTAGAGAGCACCAGCCATACACTACAGAGCATCAGCCATACACTAGAGAGCATCAGCCATACACTACAGAGCAACAGCCATACACTACAGAGCAACATCTCACCGTTGTCAAGAAGGATCTCTATGGCTGGCTGACTTCCGGCACATGCGCAGTAGTGGATGACGCTCTGGTCGTCGCTCACTTCAGTCACCCCAAGTCTGTCGGTGGGTGAGGTTGTGTGTCAGTTAATGCTCCGCTATTATACCTGCATCCGTTGCAGAAAGTCTTAGAGAAGGGTGACACGAGAATTCTCATAAGATCTAGTAGGATATGGACAACAAGCGTGCATTAATGTACGGTTTTTGTTCGTTTTCGACGCATAATCGGGGTTTCTGGGCGGGACAGAAATGGTTGGGCACGTTTCCTTTCACCTAATGCCTCTTGTTCGCCTAGGAGTTTAAATATGTACTCGGGATTTAGGCGACTGTTGTGGGTTGCATCCTGGGCAGGGTCAGTAGTTCCACCTTGGGGGACCTCGATATAAGCCTAACATATATAACAAATATATATATATATATATATATATATATATATATATATATATATATATATATATATATATATATATAACTGAAAACTCACACCCCAGAAGTGACTCGAACCCATACTCCCAGAAGCAACGTAACTGGTATGTACAAGACGCCTTGATCCACTTGACCATCACGACCGGACATAATGAGGTGATAGCCGAGGCTATTTGAACCACCCCACCGCCGGCACTCGGATAGTAATCTTGGGCATAGCATTTTACCAAATCACCTCATTCTTTGGGGCACACGTGAGGAACACAAATGCGAACAAGCCTGAATGGTCCCCAGGACAATATGCAACTGAAAACTCACACCCCAGAAGTGACTCGAACCCATACTCCCAGAAGCAACGCAACTGGTATGTACAAGACGCCTTAATCCACTTGACCATCACGACCGGACATAATGAGGTGATAGCCGAGGCTATTTGAACCACCCCACCGCCGGCACTCGGATAGTAATCTTGGGCATAGCATTTTAGCAAATCGGCTATCACCTCATTATGTCCGGTCGTGATGGTCAAGTGGATTAAGGCGTCTTGTACATACCAGTTGCGTTGCTTCTGGGAGTATGGGTTCGAGTCACTTCTGGGGTGTGAGTTTTCAGTTGCATATTGTCCTGGGGACCATTCAGGCTTGTTCGCATATATATATATATATATATATATATATATATATATATATATATATATATATATATATATATATATATATATATATATATATATATATATATATAATGACAGTGTCAGACCACGGAGGAAAATTGAAACAGGAATTTCCTTAAGTACTTTCGTATACTAATACATCTTCAGAAGGAGTTTCGTTTTAATATACGAAAGTACTTAAGGAAATTCGTTTCAATTTTCCTCCGTGGTCTGACACTCGCATTTTTAATCACGTGTTTATTTTTCGTGATTTACACACACACACACACACACACATGTATATATATATATATATATATATATATATATATATATATATATATATATATATATATATATATATATATATAATATACAGGCTGCCTGTCCTTCCGACAAAACAAATTATACAGAATTACTGTATTGCTGCATCTGAACATAGACCGCTCTATACTCACTTTACAAGAGCTTCCAGGGCCTTGTACTTCCTCTTCAACATAGAAAACTGGAACAAGGTCAGCCCGTCCCGGTCCCTGACTTTCCTGTCGGCGCCAGCCTCCATCAGCCGCTGTATGAGGTCAGGGGAGTCGACCAGGATGGCATGGTGGAGGGCGCGGTACTGACGGAACGTGTCTGTGGCCTCTGGATCAGCACCTTCCCCCAGCAGGAAGTTGACAGGTTCCAGCTGCTCGCTCTCCACGGCTGCGTGGAGCGGAGTCCGGCCCTTACTGTCCTGAGGGAAGGAGGTGGGGAGAGGTTTCTGAAGGCGTCTCCTGAGTTACATAAAGTGTCTTGTGAATGTGTTATTGATTGATGAAGATTAAGTCGCCCCAAGAGGTGGCACAGGCATGAATAGCCTGTAAAATCGGTTATTTTACCTACCCTGGACTCGATGCTGGCCCCCCGACGGAGCAGTACACGAAGGCACTGTACGCAGCCCACACTGGCGGCGGTGTGAAGGAGGGGACCCGCCTCCCCATCCACCAGCAGGTCCCCTCCTGCCTCCAGCAGCGCCTCCAGTATCGTCGAGCAAGTCTTATTCTGCCGAAGGAACATACACACACATTATATATATATAAAATATACAAAATTACATGTATGGTCGAGTTTCATCTTGAGGTTACATGACATCTTTAAACTATTTATTACGACAGTTTACAAAGCCAAAAGCTGTGCTCAAAAAGACACACACACTAGTACATTTAGTTTATATATTAATTATAACAAACAAGAGACTTGCTATTGGTAATTAAAAATAATTACTCTGCCTAAATTTAAAATATAACATATATATATAAACATGATAAACATAAACAAATGATCAGAAACACCGATCATTTGTATGAGGGAAAACCTACAGAGACAATTGTAGACTGTGATGAAACACCTTACAGGAAACGATTGTTGTCATCTCAGTGGTGTTGAGAACGGCTTTGATCAGCCGAAACGTTCATCTCTCTTTCCCAGTTCTCTGGATTTTCCTCATACAAACGATCAGTCTTTTATGATCGTCAATTGCATATATCTATATATATGCGGAAAAACCACAAAGACATGGGGAAGAGAGAGAGGTTTTTCCGCATACAAATGATCAGTGTTTAGTGATCGTCAATTGCATATATATATATATATATATATATATATATATATATATATATATATATATATATATATATATATATATATATATATTATAATTCAAAACGACACAATTTCCATAAAGTAGCCTATCATTATTTAATTCAACCTTACAATAGAGTACTACTGTTGTGGGAAAGAAAATTTTTCCCAAGGAATTAGCTAAGTCATCTTTCTCTGTATAATCTCGAGAAGAATTTACATTTATTCTTGAGGTACGATGCTCCCAACTGTACCGACTACTGTATAATCTAACCGCAGTCTCGCATGACTTAAGATAATCACAATTGACTTGAGAATGGTTCAGGACGGACCGAAACGTCCTCGTCCCTTCACCTTCTAGTGTGTGTACTTTAGTCCTAAACTGTGTTCTGGACTAAAGTAAACTCGGTATTTACTGTAAGAAGCGGGGTATACCTCTTGGTGTGTATATCCATTGTCTTAGAGCCTTTAATTCAAACACTTTTTGCTATGAATCCTAATACCCAATTGACCTTATTTCCAATATCAATACTTTATCTTCTTTGAGTTAGATCGTTATCAATTATTATTCCCAAATTATGTTCACAATTTGATTTTACAATTTAAATATTATTTATCTAATATTTAGTAGGCCTACTTCTGCCCGAAACGCTGCGCGTACTAGTGGCTTTACAAGATTGTAAATACTATGCTATGTATTCTCACAAACCCAATGTACCTTCTTGTATGTAAATAAATAAATAAATAAATAAATAAATAAATATCGTACCTCGCCGCGCTGCCTGGCGAGTATGGCAGCGTGCATGGGCGTGTTGCCGGAGTGGTCAGTGACGTTTACCTCGGCGCCGGCGCTTAGTAACGCATCAGTCACCTCCCGCAGCCCAACGTGAGCGGACAGATGAAGAAGCGTCTCTCCATTCTGTGGTTCATGGATGGGAATAAGTCATCGATAATTTGTATCTTACCTGGTTTCAGACCTAACTCTAGACAAAAACAATGTGTGTAATTAGTGCATTTATAAAATATATAATGCTGAATCTGCTAAATTACCACTGTAATCTGATCCTTATATATATATGAAGGAATATCTGTATGAGGGTGGAGGCCAGATACTTGGTGCTAGCTATTTGCTGGGAGAAAGGTGAAGGGGAAGGATCAGAGATGAGAAAATAGGAGAGGGGGAATATGACAGATGAGAGAGAAGAGGAAAAAAAGACCCTAGTACGTCTATAAAATAGGAAGTGTGTCTGCTTATCTGAAGTAGGAGGCCTCACCCAACCTTCACACATGAAACTTAATGGGGTGGGTGCAAGACTGACAGCCAGTTAATCAGCTCTGTTTTCATGCTTTAAGAAATATCAGCATCTTGAGTGTCCCCCCTCCTGGGAATTTCGTGAAGTCTGATATAAAATCAGGGATTGTGTATACCATAGAGTTTTGATGCTTCCTCCTGCAGTTTTGGGTGGATTATGGGAAGATGGAGAGCGGTCGTGGGGAGAGGATTTGATTAGGGGCGAAAGGTAACGATTAGGGGTATAAGGGAGGGGGGAAGAGAGACCCGGGCGCAGCTGGGTACCTCATCTAGGTATTATTATAAATCAGCTATTAATATATTTATCTGGGTTTATTGATCTATAGCATTCAAAAATAATTAAAGCATTTGTTGAACCGTTGAATATTCGGGCCATAAGATACATTTCTTAGATGTTTAGTAAAGTTGCTGTTAAATCTAATAAAGTATATTCAGTCTCATAGTTGGATAATTTAGTGAAAGGGCGTTTAGTGTTGTGTGTATATATGAACCCTCTAATTGGTTTCCCGTTACTTGGAACAGGAAGCCTGAACTTATATTTATAGGCTGAGAACTCCAGAGATCACGAAAGGTAAAGCAAGGGCATGGAAGAATTGCTCGAGAAACCCTGGAGTTTTCTCTCTTTATAATCTTAATGACTTTATTGGCTTCGTATCAGGTTTAAGGTTTATAACTGAAATACTCCTAGCATAGCACACATATGCACTATATTAGGCCTCAGATATCGCGTATTAGACCTAGGACAGTTAGGGAAAGTTAGTTTAATTTATCAAAGCAAGACAAGTAACATATAGTTTCCTGCTTTGTCAAACTCAATAGTTCACATTTCTACGATCTAATTTCTTTGTGCGTTGGTGTATATACTATGGTTCTCATCGTTACTATAAGTACTACCAAAACAGGAGGATGGGCTGAGATAATGATGTAGTGTATAATATGTAGACCAATAATGTAGACTATAATATGTAGACCAAATTGATTTATGTGCAATACTAAATTTCGACTTTAAGTGAATATGTAGCAGTATTTTAGGAATACTGAAATCATTAGGCATCAAAGAAGACTTATGTACAAGAAAGCACCTTTTTTATCAATGTTTCTTATAGTAAATAACTATGAGAATTAGTCGTTAATGTATAGAACTGCTCACCTTGTCGGTCACCTTGAGAGGCAGGCGGCCCTCCAGTGGGTTGTCAACGCCGGCGTGTAGCAACAGCTGAAATAAAGACACACACACGAGGAAATTTAATTGAAGACTCAAATTAAATCTTTTTTTATGTGGGGGAAAGGGTCGATATAAGCCATATTTAGATTGGTTCAAGTAGTGTTTTGATTTTGAAGCTATGTTAGTGTTTATATGTTGTCACTGATCCTATATTTGTGTTTTTACTATGAGGTTATTAGTGTTTTGACTTATCCTATAGTAGTTTCACTGATCATAGTATTGACTCTGAGGTATTTGTGTATTAATTCTGATCTAAGTAGTGTTTCGACTCTTATTCTAATAGTGTTTTGACTATTAGCCTATGATATATTTTTCTGAGAACTATCAAAATATCCTTTTCTTGGTTTTGAGAACATTTTTTTATAGTTCTGTGGAAAAGACATTTTGTTGGTTGAGAAAATATATTTTGCTAGTTCTGTTAAAAGTAGTTATTGCTCTCAGGGATAGCTGTCTCTGGTTGCTTTATATATGTGTGTGTTACAGTAGATAAAGCGTACCTTGAGAATGTCGAGGGCGTTAGCAAGAGCAGCCAGGTGGAGAGGTGTCCTGCCACGCCTGCGCTCCGGGGCATCGGTCTCCGCCCCGGCCGCCAGCAGCGCCTCCACCACCCCCACATCTCCGGACTCCACCGCACAGTGTAGCGGCGTCCTCATGTCCACATCGGCGCGGTTTACTTGGCATCCTGAGTTATAAGTATGTTGTTGTTGTTTAAGATTCGCTACTTGAAACAAAAAGTCCCAAGTAGCACGGGCTATGGTGAGCCCGTAGTGGACATAAGTAAGTAATTATCAAAAGAAAGCACCAAACCGGGAAGGTTATGTAGCACCATCAAATGTGCTTCTGGGTTATAAAGAAGGAGTTTATGAGACAAATGATAATTACCACTAGTCAACTAATGTAAATTTGTGAGGAGAGGTAATTATAAGGAATTGTAAGAGTTGAACAAAGGGAGGAATTACAAGAATTGATGCATGCAATAGCCGTCTCTAAGCCATGAGTTATATCAAGGAATGGTCCCGAAGCAGTCATCGTCATACTAAAAACGATGAACACAGCATATGTTGGTCCGCCGCAAAGAATGGTATTCTAGATTGATTGATGAAGATTAAACCACCTAAAAGGTGGCACGGGCATGAATAGCCCGTAAGTGGTGGCCTTTTTGAGCCATTACCAGTATCAAGAGCTGATACTGGAGATGTGTGGAGGTGCGACTGCACCCTGCGTGACAGATGTCTCCCGTGAATGTGTTGATGGTATTCTAGTGATGAGCACATATATATATATATATATATATACCCTTCTAGCAACCCTTGCATAAGCTATGTTCGTCCAAGCTGCAGCATTCGTCAGATTTTCCGTACTTTATAATAAATAGCGATATTTTCTCAAATGTATATTATAATTTTGAGTATAGTTAGGCCTAAGGTGGGTTAGGTTTGGTGTTTAGGCTCCTTAAACAATTATTTTAACGTGAGTGAAGCTAAGTAAACGGGTATTAAATAATAAAAAAATTGTTTCTGTGCTACAACGGTAACTGAACCAAAGAACCCGACTGCGCTTTCAGTAGGAGTGAACTAATAGTTAATCCTGAGGGGGTTGGAAAAGGGCCAATGCGGGGAGAATAGTGGTTTTCCTGAATTTTAAATTTGAATTTAAATTTGAAAATTTGAATTTAAATTTGAAAATTTGAATTTAAATTTGAATTTAAATTTTTAAAATTTGAATTTGTTTAGGGCGGGGCTGACCATGCTGGAGGAGGAGGGTGACGGCGGCCAGGTTGCCCCTGCCAGCCGCCAGGTGAAGTGCCGTCTGGTCACAGTGGTCTGGGGTGTCCACATCCAGTCCCTCTTCACCCAGCAGCTTCGTCAGAGCGTCCACGTCCCCGTCAGCTGCTGCTGCGTGCAAGCTTGCATTCTGCAGCTGTTCCTGTAAGACATATAATAGATGGGTGTGTGACAGCTTCTGAAAGGGTGTGAAAATGTTTCTTTTTTTTTATTTATTACTGTGAAACTTATTCCTTAATATCGTTATTTGGCTCTATACACACACAAAAATTATTCTACAGTTAGTATGATGTTCTTTTAGTCTTACTACAAACCCGTAGTTATTTCTTCTGTGTTTGGATTATTTAGTTAAAATTATTTATGTAAAGAATTCGCTCAAAATGTATCGTTAATGATTCCACTCACTACTTTCTCATTTGATATACATATGTAGTTTTCGAAAATATTTAACTTGTTATGTATAGACTCTGCAAGATTGTAATAATTTGGGTGTTTATGGTTGACATTGTTTCTAATTTTGTAGTTAAAATTGTTTGTAAATTTGTAGATAATTATGTGCTTGTTACACTAGATGCTCACCTTATTGAAGAGCCAGGGCGGGGGGAGAAGCCTAATATTTATATATATAAAAAAAAACTGGGCAAAGGAACCTGATTTCTTGAACAGGCCTCTCAATTATTACGTCCTTATATCCTGACAAAATATTTTGGGATAATACCAATGGTCGCTGTTTCCTTATTTCCTTGCAAAGCATCTTGGTGTATTGGCCTACTCTTCCATTATAGATATAGATATATATGTGTGTGTAAATCACGAAAATTAACACGTGATGAAAATTGTGACTGTCAGACCACGGAGGAAGAATTGAAACAGGAATTTCCTTAAATTTCCATAGATATATATATCTGTCTAGTTTTCCCGCTACCTGTTGATATTATAACTAGTCGAAACTCACCAACTTAGCACATTGAATTTGAATGGAGAGCATAATAAATCTAATCCATCCCCTCAACAAAAAAACAGCATTTATACCAACTATTTAGTCAGGCGGTCCAATATGCACCATTGGACTCTCAAAAAGTCACATTTAGTATAGCTGAATTAGCCCAAATGGCATTCTAGAAAATTGTACATTTAACTAAAACACCTAACCTGCCCAAGCAATCCTAGGCCTAATAAGCTATCTTAGGCCTATTAAAATAGATGTTATACTAGTAATGTTTAAGTTTGGTTTTTAGCTTTGCTGTTTTTTTTACTACAAAATTAATAATATTAAACGCGAATTATTGTTGAAGTCCAACAGTATACATGGGTACACTCGACCAAATAGTTGAAATACTATTTTTCTTTTAGGAGAATGGGTTCCTGGTCATGGTTATCATTCATTCCTGGCCAAGATATCATTCACCAGCGACCAGTGTGAGGTAACGAGTCACACCTTGCGTCTTCTTATGCGCTCGTAGAGAGGCGTCAGCTCCCGTACGTCGGCCACCACCTCCCGGCTCCTCAGTAGCGATGCTCCCCGCGAACTGTCGTTGCTCGTTGGTGTTGTCGTGTCTCGTGCAGTGTCAGTAAGCAGTGGTGTTGTCGTGCCTCGTAGGGTGTCAGTAAGCAGTGGTGTTGTCGTGCCTCGTAGGGTGTCAGTAAGCAGTGGTGTTGTTGTGCCTCGTAGGGTGTCAGTAAGCAGTGGTGTTGTGCCTCGTAGGGTGTCAGCAAGCAGTGGTGTTGTCGTGTCTCGTAGGGTGTCAGCAAGCAGTGGTGTTGTCGTGTCTCGAAGGGTGTCAGTAAGCAGTGGTGTTGTCGTGTCTCGTAGGGTGTCAGCAAGCAGTGGTGTTGTCGTGTCTCGAAGGGTGTCAGTAAGCAGTGGTGTTGTCGTGTCTCGAAGGGTGTCAGTAAGCAGTGGTGTTGTCGTGCCTCGTAGGGTGTCAGTAAGCAGTGGTGTTGTCGTGTCTCGTAGGGTGTCAGTAAGCAGTGGTGTTGTCGTGTCTCGAAGGGTGTCAGTAAGCAGTGGTGTTGTCGTGCCTCGTAGGGTGTCAGTAAGCAGTGGTGTTGTCGTGTCTCGTAGGGTGTCAGTAAGCAGTGGTGTTGTAGTGCCTCGTAGGGTGTCAGTAAGCAGTGGTGTTGTCGTGTCTCGAAGGGTGTCAGTAAGCAGTGGTGTTGTCGTGTCTCGTATTGTGTCAGTAAGCAGTGGTGTAGTCGTGTCTCGTATTGTGTCAGTAAGCAGTGGTGTTGTCGTGTCTCGTATTGTGTCAGTAAGCAGTGGTGTTGTCGTGTCTCGTATTGTGTCAGTAAGCAGTGGTGTTGTCGTGTCTAGTGTAGTGTCAGTAAGCAGTGGTGTTGTCGTGTCTCGTATTGTGTCAGTAAGCAGTGGTGTTGTCGTGTCTAGTGTAGTGTCAGTAAGCAGTGGTGTTGTCGTGTCTCGTATTGTGTCAGTAAGCAGTGGTGTTGTCGTGTCTAGTGTAGTGTCAGCAAGCAGTGGTGTTACAGCGTCAAGTGTTGTATCAGTTCTGAGTGGCGTTGACACCTCTTGTGATATGTCAGCCTTCAGAGGTGACGGTATTATGTGTGTTGTGTCAGGATCTTCCAAATCACGTGCAATGTCAGCTACCATTGGTGCTGCAGTGTCTTGTATAGTGTCAGCCCTTTCTGGTGTTGCCACATCTTGCATAGCGTCAGCTCCAGTCGATGTAACCATGTCTCTAATGGTGTCAGCCCTCTCTGGTGATGCCACAGCGTGCATTGTGTCAGCCCTTTGAGATGATGTCACTTCTAGTGTTGAATCATCAATTTGCCGTTCTGACATATCTTGTCTAATGTCAGCCCTCGACGGTGTTGCCATGTCTTGAGAATTTTCTGCTTCCACCGGTGAGGTCATTTCTAGTGTCTTGTTTTCCTTGGGAGGCGTCCTCGCGTGTCTTGTGTTGTCACCTTCCAATAGTGTTGCCATGTTTGCCGAAGTGCCACTGCTTGGCACTGTTGACATACATCCTAAAGTATCAGTTGAGGGTGTTGCCAAATTTGTTAAAGTATCCGTTCCTGACCCTGTTGCCAGATTTAAGGTGTCATAGGCTTCTAAGGTTGTTGTTTCATGCTCTGAAGGACTGGTTACGGACAGTGGCGCCACGTTTTCTGTAGTATCAGGTTCTGAAAGTGTTGTCACGTTTTCTGAAGTTGCAGTTGATGGCAATGTTGTCACGTTTTCTGAAGTTTCAGTTGATGGCAATGTTGTCACGTTTTCTGAAGTTTCAGTTGATGGCAATGTTGTCACGTTTTCTGAAGTTTCAGTTGATGACAATGTTGTCACGTTTCCTGTCTCATCAGCCCCTGACAGTGGTGCCGAGTTTCCGCTTGCATTTTCTGATAGATTATCCGGTGACACTGCAGACGTCTTCTTTGCAACGTCAGTTTTTGACAGTCGTTCCACGTTCCTTGATGTATAAGATCTTGTCGAGGTTCCCTCGCCTCTAGGAGTGTCAAGTCCTGATACAGATGATGAATACTTCGATGTTTCAGTTCTCAGCGATGATTCAGTGTTTCTCGTTGAATTGGTTCCTAACCGATTTGATAAGTATTCAGATGTGTCAGTTCTTGGTGTTGTCGACTTGTTTTTCGGAAGATCTGTTTCCAGCAGAGATGAGAAGTACTTCGATGTCTCAGATCTTGGCGGCGTCGTCTTGTTTTTAGAAAAATCTGTTTCCAAGAGAGATGAGTAGTACTTTGATGTCTCAGATCTTGGCGGCGTCGTCTTGTTTTTAGAAAAATCTGTTTCCAAGAGAGATGAGAAGTACTTCGATGAGTCAGTTCTTGGTGTCGTCGCGTTGTATCTAGAAGAATCACCTAGCAGTGATGCCACATACGATGATGCATCACCTCTTGATGGCACGGAGGCATTTCTTGAAGTATCAAATCTCGACAAATTATCTGAATTGTCAAATCTCGACGATGTTACGTTTCGTGTAGTGTAAGATCCCCTGAGACCCGCCAGGGTGTCACCGGTGTTTATCCTGGAGGAGAGTATGGAGTCGCCTCCTGAGAGGCCAGCACCAACAGTCGTCCTGCCTGGGCGGGACCACCTCTGCAGCAGGTCGTCGTCGTCGGATGACTCCTGGCGGGACAGGCGCTGGTAGGACGACCTCACCTGCAACGCGAGCACGTCAGGTGTTGTAGTGGGGGGGAAAGATGGGAGGTGGAGGATGAATGTTTGTGTTGGTGGGGGAGCTAAGAACGTCACGCAACCTTCGCCAGTCATATCTGATCTATCGTAAGCCACTGAGCCGGGCATGCAGACAGGCATAAAGTATAGCTCAGATTAGCTGACGCTCACAGTTTCCTGTTTGATAATAATAACGAAAACCCCCAGTCATTTTCAAATACAGAGACAAAGCAAATTTGTTTAATATACTGAATATATTGTATCGAAAAGTCATTAAAGCTCTATGCTTGCAAAAGAAGAGTGAGAAAACTTCAGATCGTGAGCATAATGTAAAGGCTTACTACGTTAGCGTGACGTTCACTCCACTCCACCTACACTTACTGCTATATTATAATTATTCTACAGTATTGCTCTAAGTTTAAGAAAACCTAATACTTTAGAGGGGGGAAGAGGAGGGCGCTTAGCAGGTTAAGAGCTGGCGAAGAGAGTGTTACGCGCCAAGCGGGCGCCAGGAAGCAACTGAATGTCCCATAATGCCTCACACACACCGACCTTCTCACTTGTCGATGATTCAACTCATAGTACATTAAACATGTTCACGAGGTCTTGATCTGAGAGCATCTTGTAGTAAAGGCAATTAGGCCATTTTTGGATGGTGCTGGTGGGCGTTAGTAGCAGTTATTGGTGAACGAGTTGGGCCATCTGCACTTCCTTTCTCTTGGGGGGTAAATATGTTAATTGTAAGCTGTTACTCCGTTAACCTTGTGTCAGCTTCGCCTTTAGTCATTCTTAAGTTAGCTGGTTTATGTTAAGCGAGTTCACCTTTCTTGTTAATCTGTAATAAATTTGTATTAAAACTGTAGAATCGTTAGGAGCAGTTAGCGGAGTAGAAAGAATATATATATATATATATATATATATATATATATATATATATATATATATATATATATATATATATTGTTTGAGGTTGACCCTCTTAGCTACTTCTTCAATTATTTATTCTGCATTCATTCATCTATTCATGGGACCTGAAATGTAGTAGTGGTCTTTATGCAGCCTTAACATTTAGTAAAGCAAAATAGAATTTTAAAGTCAATCACTCAAAACGCTGCGCGTACTAGTGGCTTTACAAGATTGTAATTACTATCCTATGTATCCTCACAATCCCAATGTACCTTCTTGTATATATATAAATAAATAAATAAAATATACAGGTACAATACTGGTACAGTCTTCTATTGATAGTTATGACGATGTTGTACAACATTTTATGCCTATAAATTTATCATTCATGACACTTGAACAATTATAGAACAAATAATTTACTTTCTACATCAGATTTTTAATTAGATTTTAAGCATTGTTCCTGACTGAATCAGCCTGTAAATTCATGTTTTGGAATATGTCTGTGAAGAGACGGTGTCCAACAGCCACCTCTGAGCCTCAGAGTATATACATACCAGAGTGTGAGTGGACATACATGTTCAGGACAATAACAGACATCGCTGCCTCGGGAGTAGTGGAGACTCCACAAAATAAAGGTTTATCTGGCCCAAGAACTGTGGATATGTTGGCATGAGGCGCCATGCTCGTTTTATATAATTTAATAAAACACTTCACTGCTTTCACAATTATGGTTATTCACATACACTGTATATAGCGCTGCACCCTGTGGGTTTCTGCCACATCTGCCCAGCACCCTATGGGCCTGGCAGATTTCAAACAGACTTCACAAACCCAAACACTACAGCGCCTACGGGCCGCTACCTAAATTGTACATGATAGGCTTCTAGCCTACGTCAAGACTAGCCTCACCAAAACACCCCATGTTCCCTCTGGTATGTATATATTCTTAAGCTGGGAACGGAGCCCGGACAAAAATAACAATGCCAACATATGTCTTCAGGTTAAATATTGCAAATTAGACGATCACAGCAATACGTCCCATATGTACGATTTAGTGTATTTACTGTTTGGATATACACGAATCAAGACACCAGACAGGAGTTTCTGTAGCTCAGGGGCCTTATACGTCACCTTGTAACAAAATGTGACCAACGATATGTGAGTTTTTGGTCGTGTCGCTAATCTACATCCCGTTTTTTTCCCAATCCGTATAAAAACCCAACCTTCTAACCTAACCAGAAGCCTACGAACCCAATCAACCCACCAACGGTAGTATCGAGTTAGGTTCATAGAAAACGTATATATATTTGTGAGCCGTTATTTTTCTTTTCTTAGTTATTTATTGGTAACTTTGGTAGCGTCTTCATCCTTTAGGAAGACGTTTTAATAAATTAGTAAAATACATCCAGATGCGATCCGTCATTCCACTTTCATGCAGGCAATTATCTCTTCTAACACAAGCATGAACTGACCATAGTCACAACCAGGGGCAAATACTCTATAAACATCTTTTGAAATATACAGGCAAAATAAAGTTAATTCTAGATACGAGGAGACGGCCTATATATATATATATATATATATATATATATATATATATATATATATATATATATATAGATGGAAAAGGATGGGAAGCTGCCCTTTCTAGATGTAACAGTCATGGAAAAGAGCGGAGGTTTCCACACTGCAGTCTACACTAAGGAAACGAACATAGGAATGTGCCTAAATGCCAACAGCGGCTGCCCAGACAGGTACAAAAGGAGTGTTGTTAACGCATATGTCGACCGTGCTCTAAGCCACAGCTCAGAATGGAAGCAAGTCGACGAAGAACTCTGTAGGGTAAGGCAACAACGGCTTCTCCAATGGTTTCGTCGAAGACATCATAAGAAGGAAAGTGAAACGCAATGCAACCTCTGAAGAGACAACTAGCACAACACCTATACCCGCCAAACACACACCGAAACTACGACGTTGGTACAACGTTCGAACAAGTTTCAACACTTCCTAACCAGTTTTAACAATCAATATAGCAAGTTGTAACAACGTTCTAATACGTCATAAACACATTAAGCCAAGATGTAACAACTTTATTACAAGTTGTAACAAGCGGAAAATAGAGACAGTTTCGGTTTGTGTTTCCAGGGATACCCCCTATTAGAGTATTTTACAGGAACTTCTTTTCCACAGCTCATAAAACAGAGGAAAGGGTCCTGAAAGATATTGTTAATAGAAACGTTATCCCTACAGACAAAAATCAGAGGATACAACTGACGATTTACTATAAAACCAGAAAAACGGCCAGCCTACTCATGAGAAACTCTCCAGACACAAAACAGAACGCTTTAAAAGAGACCAACGTCGTCTATGCCTTCAAATGCCCACTTGGGGACTGTAAGCTCCAAAAAAAAACAGTATATTGGCAAGACAACAACATCTCTTTCTAGGCGTTTAACGATGCATAAACAACAGGGCTCCATTAAGGAACATATAATCTCTTCCCACAACCAAACCATCGCCAGAGAAATCCTAGTAAACAACACAGAAATCATCGATAGATACAGCGATAGCAGGCGGCTTGACGTTTGCGAGGCACTACACATTAAGAAGTCAACACCAGCAATCAACAGCCAATTAATGCACAACTATATTCTACCCACCTCAAGACTCCGCTCCAATATAGAAGCATCAAGAAATATGGACCAATAGGCTTTCTACAATCACTTCCATTTCAATACCCATTGTTTCGTGTTCTGTCTTGTGTTGATGAAATTAATACCCTATATATATATATATATATATATATATATATATATATATATATATATATATATATATATATATATATATATATATATATATATATATATATTATTTTGTTAAATATGACCGCATTGCTGGCTTTGTTGATCTTATAGTATAAGCTTTTTATGTTTCTAATTATTTTCTTAACTCTGGGCATTAGAAGAGCAATCAAGTTACCGAAAAGTGTAGTAAAGAAACTAGTGATTATTCAAGGGTGTATTGTATACATGATTATTTGTACAAAATAAACCCCTCAATAATCACTAGAGTTTCCTGACCGTCAATTTCGGCAATTTTATTGCTCTTCTTAACCCCCAGAAGTAAGAAAAGAGAAGCATGGAAAGTTTATACTATAAGATCAAGATGTTGTTTAAGATTCGCTACTTGGAACAAAAAGTTCAAAGTAGCACGGGCTGTGGTGAGCCCGTAGGAGTATATATATCAAGATCAACAATGCGGTAATATTTACCCAAATAATATACGTAAAGGAACGCCTGCTGCCCAAATATATAATTGTGTGTGTTCAGTAGGCCTATAACATTCATATAATTTCAAATTTGTCTTGGAATGGTATCCTAGCGATGAAAAACTCTAGCAATGGATATATCTAGCTCGGAACTAAGCCACATACCCTATGCTTTTTACCTCAGTATAATAGAGAATATACAAGAGGAAGCTATTAATTTGCGAACAACTGGGCCCGGAACCTTGTGGTGCTCACAGGAAGAACCACCACCATGATAGGAAGGTAAAGTGACTGTGTGAGTGTGTGTGTGTGTTGACATGCGCCTCGACTCCTGTTTATAGCCTTCGGTGCGCTCATGGCGGACGACGAATATAGAACATTTTTTACCTGTGAGGGTGAATTTTCACCCGTGTTTGGGTGTTCGAGGGCGGGAGCTGACGACGCTCTCGCATATTCTGGGAGTCAGAGCCTTCACGGTTATGATGAGAGTGCGGGGTTAAAACTTTATATGGGAGTCAGCCGGCTCAGATGCTTCTTAATTAATTACGTGTGTGTATGTATTGCTATATAGTCGTAGTGGCTTGGCACTTTCCCCTTGATAATGCCCTGTGTGTATGTATTTACTATTATCTGTAGAATCGAGCTATTAGCTCTTGGACGCCGCCTTTCTAACCAATCTATTTTGTTCTGTATCTTATCTACTACATATATTTCTAATTCACGCGCGCGCACACATCCCCAAGCAGCAGCCTGTGGCAGCTGTCTAACTCCCAGGTACCTATTTACTGCTAGGTGAACAGGGGGG